CAATCATCATCACAGTCATTAACGGCTTTTATATATGTAGATGGAACCATTGAGATTCATCCATCCAAGGTAACTGCTTATTTTCACAACTTTAAACATGTATACTTTGTATTTTTTTTTTAGTTAACGTAACATACCGTCCAAAGGCTTCAACCGGCCCTCCTTTACGTATAGACGATGATCCAACTTTTCTTTTGCTCTTAGATGTTCCCCATAATTCAAATGAACCAACAACTTCTTTAGTGGTAACTTTCCATATTCACCTAAAAGAACGTGCTGGAAGTTTCGAAGTTCGAGCATACGAATCTTTACCGAATTTGGAAAACTCTAATGGAGGATCGGCTTTTGGATTGATACCAATCGTTTTGCAAGTTGGTGAAGAAAGATTGGTAAAGGATTTTAAGAGTTCTTTAAAAAACAAGCAAGTTTCAAAATTTTTTTTTATTCGTACCTTATCAGTTATACTGTTTAGGCTTTTACTTATGTGAATCATATATAGGTTGACCGCTTCTGTCGCATCATGTCCAAAATATATTACAGGTTATGGTCAAAGAGTTGTAATGTTGTGTGAATCGAATGAAATTATTTTATGGAATTTGAAAAAGGTGCATAGTCCTAATGTTAAACTATATTCGTTTTATTCTAAAATTCACGTGATCTATAAAGACTTTTGTATTTATATAGCATTGGGATAGTTCTCTTCGTTTTGAATGGCATAGTACAATCTCTCTTCCAAATTCATATCCAGTAACAAGCCTTTGCGTTACGCAGGGTTTTATTTTTTTTAGTTCCACCACTTTCAAATCAAAATTAGATGAAGAATGCTTATGCGTGATTACAATTAAAAAACTATTAGCTGGCAAATTTTGTGGGTGCTATCATCGTGAAGATAATTTGATAAATAATAAAATTTTTGATACTGAAGTAGATGAAAATGAAGATAGAGTTGGTAATGGTAACACAGAAAAGGGTGATAAGAAAGGGGTGAACACTATACAGATGCGGGCACAAGCTCCAAGGCTTGGATGTTTGAATGAATGTGGTCATTTATGCCTTATGCCATTAAATAACATTGTATGGAAAAATAATATCAATGAAGCTACAATATATGGTATATTTATTAAATTTTATTTGCTAATATCTTTATACAGTAGTAAAAATTTTTTTGTTTAGATCTACAAGTGATATCGACAGACACGATTCTTCTTTATACAACGCTTCCCACCTTATTCATCTTATCTGCATGCATCAAAACAATTATATTACCAATTTCAAGTAAATCACGTAAGACTTCATTAGATGATGCACTTTCTGAAACAAAATATCATACTGTGTTCTCGTGTTTTTCGTTAAAAGATTTTCCAATTCCAAATTCAACCGGTGTGAATTTGATAAAGAAAAGTAGTAACATTAATGATACTGGAAATGTTGAATGGGGGAGTATTTTAGTCGGGCGAAATGGGCTGTCTGTTGTGGTGATTGAAAACCCTTCTGATAAATATAACGTTAATATAGGGGAGCAAGACACACAAATTTTGCCTCAGCAAAGTGGTGAGATGTTAATGGCTAGTTGGGCGAGCATGCCATTTGATGCTACAGATGGAAGTCATAGTACAGTTTATATTGTGGCCGTAGATCAAGATGATATGCGAGGTTTAAATTTTCAAAATGATTTTGTATCATCACTTGCATTAACTGGAGCTCGTGGAAATAAGGAAAAGGAATGTGAAAATGGTAAGGAAATCAATTTATCTATACTTTTTGATTGTTAATAATTTTATATAAATAATACTAACATTATCCAGACTCTATTTCTGCGTTTAACGATATCTCATTTAAAACCATTGGTGATACTACATTACTCTGGCATGTTATCTCTTGTCGTTTAATACGAGCAATTTTTGTAACTTCCCATATAATGGATGTGTGTGCACAGAGTACTGATATTATGATTGTTGCCGGAAGTAGAGAAACTACATTATACATCGGTAAATGGTGTGGATAAAGATATTATATATATATATATATAGTATGATTAATGTTAATATAATTATATATAAAATACATATATCATTAAGTTAACTGTTTAAATTAATCTTTATACACGTGACTGATCACCCAATCAAAAATTGAAAAAATTATTGCCATTATATAAACAACCAATAAAAATTGAAAAAATTATTGCCATTATATAACCAACCAATAAAAATCCAGAGTTTATAATCACACGAAACCATAAAACCCGGTTTTAGAACTCGGTTTTTGAAATCTAAGTTTATAAGGTAAGTGGGTATATATTAGGTAAGACAAGTTAGAGATAATATCCGATTTTTTTTGAATGCAAACATCACGAGATAATCGAATGCTGAATGAGGTTAGGAGAAAATTTCTTGTATTTATTAATCTAACTCGATTCGTCTTGATGAGACGATTCGGCAAATTTATATGGTTTACGCGTTTTATTTTTAATGAAGCATCATATAAATAAATTATATCAATTAATATTGCTACTGAGAAATGTTAGCATGATTTTATATATATAATTTGTATATTGATTTGTACTGTTTGTACTTTAAACCTCGGACCTGGCTATACGAAAGATGTAATATTTAACTATATACTGTATTGAATAACGAGTAAAGAGTAAACGATGATACAGTAATAAATAATGAGAATAAATTAGAATCGCTGTTTTATTATTTTTTGAATGTTACTTTACATATCAAAATTACTACTTTTTACATATTAATTAATATTTATTAAATGTTATTTGTTAGTATTTCACATTAGATAAATTCGCTTTTGTGTAAAATTTCCCTCACGGACTTAATCTAAAATTGTGATTTGATTGGTCAATATTGATCGATAAACTTGTGATTTTTGTGTGTCTCTCTTGTTGGTCGAACAATGGCGTGTGATCTGGATTTTTGCCATAAAGTACTCTGTACGTAATACGTGCGTGCGTATTTTTTTTTTTTTTCGTAGACGAATGTGATTGTTGAGGAATTTTTGAACATTAGGATTATAAAACGTACAATTTCATGTAATTTGTGGTTCGTATTTTTTTTTTTTCTCGAAGGGATTGGATAAATTACGATAACTTGAGAAACGAATGATATCTTGCATCAGGGAAGTGAATAAATTCAACAAAACCATATTCCAACTCACGATCCAGCTGGCCGACCTCTTTTTCTTTTTTTCATTTGGCTTGTTGCATTTCCTATGCAAGTATCACAATACCACCTGCCCTCCGGTACAGCTTTGAGTCCGACACAGTCGAGATGATACCATTCAATAGGACAATTCTGTAAAAATATAAATATAAAGTTAATTTTCAATTACAAATTTTTGTATCTATAATTTTTCTTACCTCTCCATCACAACCAATCATTTCCCCAAAACTGACTTGTCTACAAATACAATATACTGGCTCATTCGGATCAACAGGCTGTACAAAGCCTGATGAGAATGAGTTGGTGCCAGTCATAAGTGTATTTTCATATGCATCAGCATTTGGATCCAATATATTTAGATCAATGTCACCATTCGAGATTTGATCATTAACAGACGATGGACCATTTTCTTCACCATTCTGCATTCGTACTTTGATTCCTCTCGAGAGATGACTATTCATTGATGCGTCCGAATTTGATGATATATAAGTAGATATGTTATTCTGAGAACTATTATTATTATTATTATTATTAAAAAGATGAATATAAATATAAAGCAAATAATAAATATTATTTTTTTGTAATTTTTTTATAAAAAAATTTAAAACGAACATTTGTTTTCGACGTCTTGCACTATTACCACTAACAGGTACTGCAGGCGGCCGACGACCTGAGATCATAGAGTCTTTTATCGGTGAAGTAATATTTAAAAAGATAATATGTTAATAAATAAGGAATAATTACAGCTATCATATGTAATAATACCTTTATTACACCGTGTTGCAGACGGACTTGGATTTGGTAAAAATGGCAATGCTGTATTGATATAATCGTAGTATAATTTATTTTTAAAAAAAAATACACATAACAAAAAATATATATTAAAATTTTTGTCTAGTATAACTTACGAATTTCTTCAGATTCAGCACTTGATGAGGGATAATAAAATTTATTATAATCAAATGTATTAGGAAATGTGGACGCAGACATAGGTGTTACTGCTGGAATTGGTTGAACTTGTGTTCTAGTTGCTTGTGATGTTGATGTGGTATTCACGTGATGTGTCGTTGGCTGGTTTGACACTAATTCTAACCTGGACGGACTCGGTGGAGCCGAAGTAGAAGATTCCTGAAGATTTTCACGAAGATTATGTTGAGGAAATAGACTATCAAAATCTTCATCAAGACGTTTTATATGCCTTTCGACCTATGAAAAACAGTGAATATATAAATTAAACGTACAAATAAAATATTACAATATTATAACTATACCAAGCGTTTAAAATACACTTACCAGTGCCAGAGCCTTATCAGCAATTTCGATCTTTTCATCTTGTAATTGCGAAGCTCTTACGTAATCTTTAATTATCTTATCTTTTAACATTTCTTCGTCTTCGAATTCAGTAATAACGCGGGACACACGGCGCCGCTTCTTTTTAACAATATGATCGTCGCTTTGTTCATCTTCGTTACGATCTTCGACTTCACTATCTGAGTCATCGTCCTCTGTGTCTTGATCTTCGTAAACACTTTCCATTACAGAACAATCACTATCTTCTTCAAGCGGGACACCATCATATAGACACCACAGTCTTTTCTTACGACGCTCTATTCTCTCTGCCAGTTCTTCATACATCGATGATATACATTGAGTGAAAGAGTAGGCATAGTAATATCACGAAAAATTTTAGTTGAATATTGAACCTACGCTCAATTTCTTGATCCTTATTTGTTAACTCAGTAAAATGATAATGAATTTCGGAAGGAAGGTTATCAATGCCTGAAAAGAATAAACCGGGACAACACGTTAGATCCAATCACAACACTTTTGTTCATATAATAACTTATTCATATAAAAAACAGATCGTACTTCCTAAGTACTGGATCAAATACTCGTTAGCGTCTATTGGTTCCATTTACGAAAAAGTATTTATAATAGTTTAAATTGCTGTTATACAAGAAGATAGACTATAGTACTCTTTTGAAAAAATATATAGATCGATAC